AAGTTTTCCTAAAGTCTTATAGCCTCTCAAGGAAAAGTAAAGGCGTCCCCCTACCGTTCCTTAAGACTCTACTAGACCTGTTCTTGTGTGATGAGACCAACGAACCTAATGCTCTGATACCAAGTTTGTCACGACCCAAAACCGGGCCGCGACTGGCACCCACACTTACCCTCATGTGTGAGCGAACCAACCAATCTAGACCTTAACATTTCAATGTAATATCAACATAAAGTAATGCGGAAGACTTAAACTCATTAATAAAAATCAATAATCAACTTCTATAACTCAAAACTTATCATTCCCCAAAATCTGGAAGTCATCATCACAAGAACATCTATAATCAAATTACTAAACTAAGAGTATTCTAAGAAGCTAAAAATACATAAGAAGCTAGTCCATGCCGGAAGTTCAAGGCATCGAGACTTGAAGAAGAAGATCCAGTCCAAGCTAGAAGCATTAGCTCACCCTGAATTTCCGATGTAGTAAGACTGGCTTGAATTACTGTTGAGTCGAAGACGACGGCACGTTTGCTGCACTCCACAAATAAACAAGAAGAAAACAATAAAAGTAGGGGTCAGTACAAAACATGGGTACTGAGTAGATATCATCGGCCAACTCAAAATAGAAAACAGTATATATTAAGCAATATCATAAAATCAACTAATATCCTTAGCATGCAGCATTTACAGTTACCATAACCCTTGGTTACAACACCAAGCACATCAATGAGGACTCACGCCTCCTCATCATACTTATTTGGGAATTTAGTTCATTAGATTGAGTATATTAACATTTTTCAAGATTCATTATCTTTATTCCCCTCGTGTCGGTACGTGACACTCCGATCCTCATATACTATCCTGGTACCGGAACGTGGCACCCGATCCATATTCTATCCTGGTGTCGGAACGTGACACCCGATCCAATTCTATCCTGGTACCGGAACGTGGCACCCGATCCATATTCTATCCTGGTGTCGGAACGTGACACTCCGATCCTCATATACTATCCTGGTACCAAAACGTGGCACCCGATCCATATTCTATCCTGGTGTCGGAACGTGACACTCCGATCCTCATATACTATCCTGGTACCGGAACGTGGCACCCGATCCCCTAATCTCACTACTTTCATTCATCAAGCCTTCTTTTATACCAAGGCATCATCATTAACAAAGTAGATTAGGGTTTCTTTTCAAGATTTGGGATTCAATAACTTCATCATGCCTATTTATTCATAATTACATAATCACATCATTCATGCACGCATACAATTAAGCATATAGAAGGTTCACAATACTACTAACACATATCATTCGCTATTAAGAGTTTACTACGAGTAGCATGAAATCCATAACCTACCTCCACCGAAGATTAGAAATCAAGCAAGCAAGTTCCTAAAGCTTTGTTCTTCTTCTCGTTTCTCCTCTTTCTCGTTCGTTTCTCTCTCTTTTTCTGTCTCTCTTTGTTCTTTCTATTCCCCTTATTCAACCCTCTTTGTTTTTCCCTAATTAGTATATAATTAAGAATAAAAGGTGGCAATAATACCCCACTAATTAACTTAGGGTTACCTCTTTTAATCCTCAAGAATTTGAGTTATTAATATAAACCCACGAAATCTATAATTAAGGAAAGAATAGTCCAAAAACGTCCCTTAAAACTTCACCAGAAATCCGACTCTGCCTGGGATTTGCGCAACCTGTGACGGGCCGTCGTGCCTGCGACGGTCCGTCCTGCAGGTCGTCGCAGAATTCAGAGACCCAGATTTCCACCAAGGGTCTGTGACGGTCCGTCACACCTGTGACGGTCCGTCCTGCCATTCCGTCACAAAGTTCAGAGAGTTGATCTTCAGTACCCAATTTCAGATTTTCTAAGGTGTTTTAAAACGAGACCCTGCGACGGTCCGTCGTGCCCATGACGGTCCGTCGTGGTGTCCGTCCCTTCTGCCAGTTTTTCCAGAATTGAAGTCTGTTGCTCAAAACGACTAAACGGGTCGTTACAATTTATTATCATTAAGTATCAACTAAGGCCTAAGAGTTAATTCATAGCACTAGCTCAAGACAATTTAGGTAATGTTGAATAGATATTATCTATGAATTCTTAGGCACTTGTTTTATAGTGTTATTATTTTTGAGATACGTTAACTCTAGTTTTAGAATTTTTTGTTTTTATTGTTTTAAGATAGTTGTACTCAAGTTTTAGAGTGTTTCTCTAAAAAGTTATTTATTTTGACTTTAACTTTCATTGTTTGTTAGTTGTTATTTAGAGTATGGATTGTCCTACATATTTATCTATATAAACGATCCAAAATTTGAATAAAATTAAGTATCAGATTTAAAAATGCATATAAATACACAATATTATTTCTTCTCATTAGTTTTAGTTATTTATTGATACATCTTGACATTTAACTAAGTATACTTGATTGTTGATTCAATAATATATTTACTTGATAACTTAGTTCTAGTTAGTTGTATAGTGATTTATGTTGAAACATTGGCTAATTAGTAGTAGTTAGTTTCTAATTCATTCATGTATCTAATTGATAAATTAATTCTTATTTATTGTGATACATTTAAAGATACACTTTTCTTTAATTTTGATGCTTCTTTTTCACAACCTTATTATATTAGATACATCATTTTCAATTAGAACATGATACATTATATTAAAATATATATGAATCATATTAAGTGGTACCATCTTCATAAACACAATCTCTGATAAATTATTATCAAATAGCTAATGATACATTATTTTAAAAAGAGATGTGTGAAAAAAAAATTGCTACAAAAATGCACACAAAGTTTAATATTATAACATTTCAATTTAATGTATCAAAATTTCACTAGTTGATAGTTTATTGTAATGTTCTATCAAGGCAAAAGTGAAAAAAATAAAAAATTGAAAATCTATAATCTCAATATAATGTATCAACAACATAACAGTAGTCTAAATACAAGTTCTTTCGTTGTGACTTTATTGTCCACAACTTCCACCATCTACTCACACCTGAAAGCTAGAGATACATTTCATATCAATCAACTCAATTTAAGATACACAATAGCCTAATGAAAACTAACTCTAGATACACGATAATTTATATATTGATACATACTTTCGTATATTGATAAAGAAATTCATATATTGATATATAGAAAAGTATATGTATCTAATGCGTTATAATAACAATGCGCTAACTCACACCTAGAAAATTCATTACATACACATCAAACTAGAATTGAATCAAGTCGGAATCAGTAATGTATCACAATTTTTATATGCTTATACCAATTCAAAAATAAAAAAAGAGAGCATATATGATACTTTATATTGATTATACACAACCCATAGATATGCAAACCCACAAAATATACGTCAAAACTTTAATGTATCAAGTTCTAACCAATAATGTATCATGACTTATCGGTCAATATACAAATTCATGAATGAAAAAAACAATGATTAAAGCACGTGAATATGTGTTGCATACTTTTTGTTATCAATCTTTTAACTTGAAAATCGAAGTTATGGCAAATAAACAACAAATTTTTCCCAAGTTAATTATAAAATAACAACTTTTAATTGCCTTTATATTTGAAATTTGTCATCACTCGTAAGCAACCACCAACACAAAAATAAAGATACCAAGAAAGTTGTCAATAAAACTCAGACCTGATCGTCAATCATAATGAGATTTGTGTAGAATTCGAAGAACACCAAAGCTACTATCTTCAAGTTTTTCTTCCTTCGAAAGTGTAAGTCAAAAATTAAAATATTCATCGTGTATCTTATCAAATTTTCAACAAAAGTTTTGATTCCTTCTTAAGTTTTTTTTAGTTGAAATAGGGACAAAGATGAATAAGGATTTTGAATTTTGAATTGATTTGTTACTTTAGGGTTTAATTTCTCTGATTGACACATCATAGAGGAATTGAATAAGCATAAATCATGGGATTTTAATATGATTTTCTGTTATGTTTTCCTTTTTAAGCGCAACAATCACATTTATAATGTATCATAATTAATATATCCGGACAATCAGTCATGTATTCGAATGGCTGATATTTTAAGGAATTTTTGTAACATAGAAAAAAATAGGAATATAAAGTAATTTAGATTTTACACTAAGGAATTTATGTAAATTATACAAAATAAAAACTACTAAAAAGTTTTTGTCCTTAAAAATGTTAATTGAATGTTTTATCTTTCATTAAAAGATTCACAATAACAAATTTTTCATTTACTGTTCTTTTATAAATTATTATTTAATTATTTTGTAAAAACAAATTAAACACAAACACACTATTTTCACATGGAAAAAAAAAGAAACACAAATACATTATTAAACGATTTAAATAAGGAATTTCGAAGTTTTTTTTTATATATATAATGAACTTTTAATGAGTTGTTGCTCGTAAAAAATGCCACACATACCATTTTAACCTGCAAGAGTTGGCAACAATAGAAAATTTTCATGTATACACGAGGTAGAAGTCTTCAAATATTAATTGTATTCCGAGACAATATCTTAAGGTTAAAACAATAAGGAAAAGTTTTTTATTAGGAGGATACGTAGGAAACTTATTAATATTGAATTCCTAATTATGAAAAAGAATATTAATAAACTTTTATATTTACGTAACTCTTTATTAGAGTTCTTTTTTTGAACTTTTATTGAGAACTATTAAGCATTAAAATCCTTAAAATGTTGATGAAATTTTTTACCTTTCATGATTAAAGTGTACATAATAGATAAATTTGTCATGAGTATTTTCTTATAATTATTATTTAATTTTTTAGTAAAAATAAAATTTAACATGGTAAAAAAGTGGAAAAGAAGCACAATTCTTTTCTACTATATTAGAAATGGCTTGTTCAACATGTTTGTTTCATCATATCTGAGGGTATTTTTGTTTTTTTGCCATTCTAAAAGATAGCTACGTGTCTTCTTTCCAGATAATCTTTAGAATGCGTGTTTCATTTTCAATGCACATCACTGTTTACCTTCAACTCCAAAAACTTCTCCTTTCTCCAACATTGTTCCAGCCTTCCATGTAATCTTCTTCATATTGGTTCTTTGTTTTTTTCAAACTTGAAAGTACATTAAAAATGTTCCCTAATTTTATCTTTCGTTGACCACTTCTTATTCTATATGGGGTTTGTTGTTCATGTTCAATTTTTCAGCTGCTTTCAAAAGTTTCAATCATTGTGCCTTTAATTTTTGTTTTGTTCTTGTGTTTTCATTAGAAATCAACTTTGGGATAATTATATTTTCATTTTGATTTCTCACATGCAGTAACTAATTTGGTCTTCTTTCATAATAATTCTTTTGAACAAAATGAATTTTTCGTCAAATTCATTTTTTTCTGGATTCCTTCAGTTCAGTTGGTCTTCTTTCTTCATAATTCTTTTAAACTATAGTTCATATATGGGTTTTCCATTGAAATTAACTTTCTGGTTTCTTCATTTTAGTCTTATATTGTTGAATTTTCTTCACCTCCGTCATTTTGAAATTATTTTCACTTGCAGTGTGACGTTAAGGATCTGCAGCTATTTATACCAGAATTTGAGCAAAGGGTATGTCCGTTAATGCTTTCATACGACCTTCATTTCAATTTTTGTGTACATTAGATTCTTCTATAATTTCGTAAAACTATGAAATGCCCTGTCTTTTAAGAATGGATTAATTTGTTGTTCTTATGTTTCGAGTTTTGTAAAACTTATCTATCTTATATGGCTGACCCTAAATATTTTGTTATCTCCATTTTGTAGTAAAATTTTATGCTTTCAGAGTCAAAACATAACTTTTCATCTTGTTCGAGCCCAAGGGCCTTCTTTTGTGCTACTGGCACCAGGTAATTGGTGTGAAGTATATAAGGTTGATTCTTTGTATGTATGTGTCTTATGTTTTAATTGTTAATAATATGATTGTATCTTTTCATGAGCTGAGATCTCTTGTTCAATTGGTAGTTCTGCCATCGACCTTTTTGCAACTGCAAACATTGCTGTTGGTTATTTTCTCATTATGTATGTTGTTACACCTCTTATGTACTGGTTCAATGTCTACAAGGCCAGGAACTCTCCAATATTCTCGGATGGCTTGTTTAAATAAAAAGGTCATGATTACAGCATTTCAAAAATCATAGGCCCTAACTTTCACATTGATTTAGAGAAGTATGACCACGAGGGTCGTCTTTATCTCAGCATTGTCCTTTTACTAACTTATGGATTCAGCTTTGCCTGCCTCACTGCCACGGTTGTTCATGTCTTTCTCTTTCATGGATGGTAAGCTTCATACTTTACTGTTATAATGGATAAAATTCAGTATTTTAATGTGGCAATAGTTTCAGACTAGAAAAGTTTAGTGCATAAAGTTTAGTAACCTTTAGTGAAAGTAACCCCTGCCTCGATGTATAGAATGGAAGCACCACTTGACTAGTTATAGTGGTGCAGGGATCTATGGCATCTCAGTAAGTCTGCTTTACAGGAAAAGAAAATGGACGTGCACACGAAGCTCATGAGAAAATACAAGCAAGTTCCTAAATGGTGGTTCATGATTATACTACGAATAAATATTATAGCAACTGTATTTGTATGTGAATATTACAAAAACCAGCTTCAATTACCATGGTGGGGTGTTTTGTTAGCATGTTGCCTGGCGTTCTTTTTCACCCTCCCAATTGGAGTCATTGCTGTTACCACAAATCAAGTAAGCACACATTTAATTTTCAGTAAAATAACAGCTTAAGATCATCAATAGCTACAATTTTTGTCCAAATACTCACTGTCGGGTTTAGTTAAAATTATAGCTTGGTGTCAGTGTTATGAGTTGCTTTCTTCATTTGGCAACTCTGATGTTCCACGATCTTTGTTGCTCAGACACCTGGTTTGAATGTGATCACGGAGTACATAATACTTTCTACTAGTAGTAAAATGGAAAGACAATGAACTAATGCATATTTAGTTATGAGGATAAATGAAATAGGATAGAAGATAATTCTTTATTATTCTCCATTAGAGAGCTTATAAATATAAAGTAGATTTCAAAAAGTAATTTTTCTTTAATATTTGGTCTTGGCAACATGTTCTAGGAATGATCATTCAACAATTCAAAAACTAGCTTGTTCAGAAAATTGCATATGAAGTAACAAAGTTTTCTTAATTTGAATTTATATTTTTTAAAATAAGTGAGATGGAAATAGATGGTAAGTTGTCAATGAATTAAGACGACTTCACTTTACTTGGAGTTCGTTAGGAACTTCATGTCCTTTGCTTGAATACACTATTTGTTATTAGTGTTGCGGTCTTGCGGATGTTACTGAAATTCACTGCAATTAGTGTAATTTTATTTTTTCAATAGTCTTAGTTTCTCTACTTCTACTTCTTTGGGGGTAAAAAGTGAAGAAGAGGAAAGTGTTGAACTTGCATATGAAGTTTGACTTGATTTTCTAGGGACGAAAAAAAACATTTAAGTCCAACTACTAACTTATACTTAATGTGAGAGTGGAACATAATTTACGTTAACTGAAAAGTTTACAGTGAGATCAGTTTGATCTCTTGTTTGTGGTAAGAATATTGTTCTCAATATATAAGCATAATTTACCAACATGTCTAGAAATTAGGCTCTGAACTTTTGTAAATCTTGTTGTATAGATTTTTGGGTGTCGTAAAAATTGAAGTTATGCAGATATGTTTCATTTTTTTCATGGAACAAAACCTTTTAAGCCGAAAATGTCTTTCTGCTTTGGGATAAACATGTCTTCACCAGTATAGTACTTTCTCTTCACTCAAATATATGTCATGTGTGCATCCTTTGTCATGTTGAGCTTCACTGATCTTTTATGGCTTTTGTATATTTTCATAGTGTGAATTGTTTTCCTCTATAACACTAACCAAAAGAGTTTTATTTATTATTTATCATATAGTTTTTCCATGTCATCATGGTTTCATCAGATTTTGCTCTATTGTGTGTAAATTTCACTTGTAATAGTAAAGGGTGCCTTCTCTTGTTTTGTCTGCATACTGTTTGGATGGTTGGTATATATTGTTCAGCATACTGGTTGATTTACTATAAGTCACACTACCAAACCATATGTATAAAGCTGCAAATGTAGGATATGAAAATAATTTTCCTTCAAGATTTTGTACATATGCTGCACTATGCTAGGTGATCTATAATTTGTATTATTTTGTACAAAGGACTTGTGTTACTTGTGTACAAAGACCCTTCTACATTTACTAAATATTTGAGATTTCATCATTTGAATTAGGCTACTTTGTGCTCTTTTATTCTTGACGTTTCTCTAATTACATATGTTTAACTATGTATTCAACTTTGAACCTATATATTTCTCTCTTTTTTCACTGGTACTTTTTGTCAGGGTGATAAGCGATAAAAATGTACCACTACATAAATGATAAACATTCAATGCAAATAAAGTAGCCTGGAACTTATTTTATGCTTTTAGCTCAGAAAATTTGTTTAATGTTGGGCCCGTACTTGTACGGGCCATCTCTACCTAGTATGTTAATAAATCATTTGAAAGGGAATTTTAAGATGCATAAAGTCAAGCCCGTTCAAGAAGTTTGAGGGCTAAAGCCAAACTTCACAGAGATTTTTTTTTGTGAAAATTATGTAAATCACATAGTGTAAAACATAAATTACCTCCTATCCCTATTCTTTTTTAATTTATAAAAAATCTCTTATTTTTAATAAGTTTCTGATACATAATAAAACAGTCGGATACATTATATAGTGTTCCATTTTATCCATTTGTTGAGTAATTTGGGGATAAAAAACTGAAATTTGAATTAATTCCTATTTTTAATATGCCACAGTTATTAATCCCTTAAAAAAGGCATTAACTTGTGTGTTTCAAAATCAGTTTTATACAATATAATACTCTAAATTAAATTATATTTTTCATTAGTGATTTTTCCTTTTTTTGGGTGATTAAAAACTGAAATTTGAATTAATTCCTACTTTTAATATGCCACGGTTATTAATCCCTTAAAAAAGGCATTAACTTGTGTGTTTCAAAATCAGTTTTATACAATATGATACTCTAAATTAAATTATATTTTTTCATTAGTGATCTTCCCTTTTTTTTGGCAGAAAACGATATTTTGATTAGTGATCTTCCCTTTTCTTGACAGAAACGATATTCAAAATTTCCTTGAAGGTAATTTTGTATCCGGTTTCGTAATGAATATTACGATATTGCTAAGGCATTCAGGAATATGGGAAAGTGAGGTTACATACAATCAATACAAAAATGATGGGATAGTGGTCGGGGAAAATATTTCATATATGAATCTAATCTCCGCAATTGCTACTGAATTAAATATTGATGAATTGAAAAAAATATTATTATCCCGATATATTGTAGAGGGCAATTCTTCTCCGATGATAATTAGGAATGATATGGGTGTGAAGTTATTTATAAAAATAAAGAAGCAAGAGGTTGGATTCAATATGTATCCGCTTTGCATCATACAAATGATAAAAGTACAGAGGAGTTACAAATTTTTGATTCAACCAGTGGTGCAATTATGTGTATTGAAGGTGGACAAAGAGACGCTAATGCTCTAAACGTTGTTGAATCAAACATTGGTGATTCTTGTTACATACCCGAGATGGAGAAAGAAAATTATATATATCAGATACAAATATATCAAATGTGGAGACGATTCAATTGTACAAGGATAAAGCAACGCTTGTGGCTGTAATGATGAAATACAAAATTAAAACTAGCTTCAATTTTAGAGTTAAACGGTCAGATACAAAAAGGTATGTAAGTATTTCATAGTTGATTTTTGTTTACACACTTTAGAGAATGATATTTTTGGATAAATTTGGATTATTTACATGGTTAGTATATCACTTTGTGTTGGATAATTACAAATTTTTTTTGTATAAGTCAAAGATGGAATTATAATTGTGACAATTTAATTTATTTTGTATTATTATGTTGACGTGTCTGTGAACGTGTGTAGGAGGTAAAACACAGTGGACATTTATATGAATGTTAAAATAGTTTGTTTGACATGAATATAATATGAGGTGTTATTGTAAATGTTACATACCTTTACATACATTGACTCTAATTATCAAAAATTTTGTATCAAATCTTAAAGTTTCAAGTATGCATTTTTACTAATAACTAACAAATTTATATGGTATAATTGCAGCTATGTTTTAGAGTGTTATTCAGAGAAATGTTGTTGGAAATTAAATGCGTCTGTTAGGAAAAACACTGATATATTCAAAGTAAGATACTTCAACAGTAAGCATACATGTCCATTAAGGGATAGGGTATTAAGTAAAGTACAAGCTACTGTTGGATTTATTGGTGCTTTTACGGCTCCAAAATTGGTAAATCATAAAAGAAAACATACTCCAAATGATATAATTGATGATGTTAGGAAAATGTATGGTGTTGAAATTTCTTACCAGCAAGCATGACGTGCTAAAGAACGTGCACTAGAGTTGATAAGGGGCAATCCTGCAGATGCATATAAAAATATGCCAAGATACATACATATGTTGGAAACGGTGCATCCAAATTCTTATATACGGATGCACAAATCAGAAAAAAATGAATTTATGTATCTATTAATTGCTTTAAGGCCTTTGATGAGAGGGTTTGAGTTCTGTAGGCCTGTTGTTGTTGTTGTTGATGGTCACATCTTAGTGGAGCTTACAAAGGGACATTTGTATCCGCAAGTACTCTTGATGGGGCAGGTATGCCATGTTGCTGAATAATTATAATTTTTTAAAATGATAATAATAACATTGTTTCAACATTATGTATCAAGTATATTAATATTGTGTGTTGACTATGTTAAGGTTGCATATTACCATTAGCTTACGGGATCGACCAATACGGAAAATGATTGTTCATGGACATGGTTCTTCACACAGTTTAAAAATGCATTTGGTGAGAGAGAAAAAATGTGTGTTGTTTCTGATAGAAACGAAAGCATAATGGAGAGTGTTAGTATAGTTTATCCAAATGTTTCACATTTTGCATGCATATGGCACTTGTGGAAAAATGTTTGTACATACTACAAGAGAAGTAAAAACACTCTAAGTGATCTGTTTTATTCGATGGCTAAGGCTTATCGAAAAAAGGATTTGAAAAATTGATGGCTAAAGTGGAAAAAGTAGATGGCAGAGTTAAAAAGTATCTTGACGAGGCTGGCTATGAAAGGTGGTCTAGATCTCATGTAACAGTGAATAGGGGTAGAATGATGACATCTAACATTGCAGAATGTATCAATGGTTGTCTTGTAGATGCACGGCAATTACCTGTTTTGGGCTTTTTGGAAGAAGCCAGAATTCTATTTGGTTCTTGGAACTGCAAAAATAGAGAAATAGCATCTTATACAAAGGAAACATTAGGGAGGAAATTTGAAGAGATGCTGATTATAAACGCGTCCAAATGTTCGAAAATGAAGGTATTTATTCATATATCAAATATTATGTATCTTGCTTTAATATTTTAAGGTTTTTTTTGTATCAAAAAATTTAACAGTAACTTTTTAAAAACTATTGCAGGTTGTTGCATTTTCAGATTTCATTTTTTTCAGTTTATGAAGGTGGTATAAGATACATCGTTTGCCTTGAGAGAAAGAATTGTTCTTGTGGTAGACTTCAGCATGATGAAATACCTTGTGCGCATGCAATGACTGTTTTGAAGAAGAAGAATATCAAAGATGTACACCATACTATTCTGATTACTATAAACCTGATGCATTAGCCAACACCTATGTAGTTCCAATGGAACCAATGCCGGACAAAAGTGATTGGACAGTTTCGGAAAGTGTTTCGGAAGAAGTTGTCTTATCACCAAGATACAAAAAAATGCCTGGTAGACCAAGAAAAAAAAGAAAGAAAAATACAGATGAAAAGCTAAGCGAAAACACAAATTGTTGTGGACGATGTGGACAAGAAGGTCACAATAGAAGAACATGTACTTTCTTTCCAAAAGATTCATAATGATTATGTTTCAGGAGTTCCTTTAATAAATGTAATAGTGTAGCATTTGGTTCCACTGTTACACATAGATTCTGATTCAATAAATTTCTTTGATCATTTGGTAATGTGTTCTCTAATTCTTTATTTTTTGTTAAACTCTATTTAAATTTGACATTATATTTATGTATCAAATACTTCATTTTATAATGCTTATTCAAACTTACTTTAATCAATATTAATTGCGAAAATTTCACCCAAATTATTTTCAGTTCTAATTTAATTTAATTTAGTAATATAGTATCATGTGTGTAGATACTTAAAAAAATTTCATATTTTGAAGGGCAAATAATTGTTCGTAATATATATAAATTAGTACTGAATATATCTTATTTGTACAAAAGATATTAATTTTTTTTTTAAAAAAACCGACGTGTATCAAGTGTAATAACTAGTATCACTGTTTGTGATATTATATATTTTGATATTTCATATATCATATACAATATATAATTACGTATATAATTTTCTTTTTTTGTATCATACAATATATTAAAGATATTAATTTTTTTTTTGAAAAAACTGGCGTGTATCAAGTGTAATAACTAGTATCACTGTTTGTGATATTATATATTTTGATATTTCATGTATCATATACAAAATATAATTACGTATATAATTTTCTTTTTTTGTATCATACAATATATTTACGTATATATAATAAGTGTTTTTTATGACAATAATTACATTAATGTAATTATTATTATAGTTTTGATACAATAATGACATTAATGTCCCACTACTGTATACATAATTCCTGAATTCATAACGGTGATAAAAAAAATTAAAGTAATAGAATAAACAATTTTAAAAATCAAAACACTTTCATAATTTAACAATATGTGTTGTTATGTTAATAAATACTTCAAACATCTTGTTTAACTCCAAAAAAACAAAAAAAAATCAAACATTGAAAACTAACTAGCCTACATTAACAATTTCATCTTCAGATGATGGGTTTAATACATTCTTTATTCTTGGAGGGTCATCACTGTTGCTAACATATCCAGCATTCATCTTGTCGAGACCATACTTCAATAAAAGTATCGCATATCTTTTGCGAAGATAGCTACTCTCAAAACTATTACATGACATGTTGATTTTGTCACTTAGAAATTCTGCATATACAGCTACGAACAGTCCGCAATCACTACAAAAATAATAAGATTAATTATAAGGATGAATTAGATACAAAAAATAAAATAAAATAATAAACAATACTCACAAGCTATCACTTATTTGTTGCATGTTGTCTTGAGCAAACTCCACATTAAACGAATGTTGTGGACCCAAAGTTCTCCAGTTTTCATGTCTTTATATGCATCCGATGCTGCCCAATCTGTTCGCTCCTTTTTTTCAAAAAACCCACTATCATGAAGGTAGTTTGGAAGGATTTGAGACAACTTCTTGATGTCTGTAAAATGAACTCTGTTCCTTGATCCCGAAGTTGAGTCATACACCCTTATAAGCCTTTCTTTTAGAACCACAACAGCCAACACCCAATGAAAATTTTCATAACAGTTTACAGGAATGTAAACCTCATCTACTAAATGCCATGGTAAAGCAACAGGAATATAAAAACCATTGATAATGTTAATGATAGACCTTTCATGAACTGATACGGCAGCAGCACGAAACATGTGTTCTTGTGTGCTAATTGTATCATCTGCATGACTGTTATAATACCTTGAATATGCTTTGTTTATATGAGACTTAAACAAGCAATTGACTGTAGTATATCTATACTGATCCATGCTTCTTTGTTTGGACTTCTTGCGGAGATAGTAAAAGATTACATCTATATGCTGCAAAATAAGAGAAAACATAATACATGGTAAAATGTAATTGATAAGTGAAAAACATATGCAAGAACTAATTCTATATCCTAACTGATAAATATAATTTAAATAATCAAGTTGATACTTAATATTAATAACAATCTGCAACATGATACAAAAAAGTGTAATAGTATTTGATACTTATTATTAACTACATATAATATAGTAATTTTTAATGTGATACCTAAAAATCACAATTTGACAAAATAATGTATATGATACCTCATCAGTCCAACATCTATTCGGCTGTGACATGGTATAAAATCAGTTCTTGTCCATAGGAAATGCGACAACAAAGTCAATATAATCAAAACCAAATGAAGCAGACTTTGCTCTGTATTTCTCCTCGGATTGTTTCCTATACACAGAAATAATTTTTAGAACAAATTAAAATAATATTATACGATACAAAATTAGCAAGACATATTATAAGAACTTACTTGTTCGCATGTGATATTAAGAGACCTTTTTCAATCCATTGCGAGAACTCGTCCATCATACCTATTGACAATTGTTCAAGAATACCACAACCTTCAAATGGATAGAGTGGGAGAACATCACCATCTATTTTTGCCTTGCCTTTATCGCTGGATCCAAAATCTGTCAAATATGGAGACCGTATAATTCTTGAAGGCATCCTGTATCATGGTGCTGGAGTCTCAGTATCAGGAAGAAGTGAAAATTTCTTTATGGGTAGTTGGGTGGGTAGTTGGCTATCAGATAACCAAAAAGGACTCTCAATTAGTTCCCCATGACTAATCAAACATAGTGGTTTGACATTGGTTTCCACTTCTGTAGATGTATCAACAGGAAACAGACTTGTAGTGTGCTTTTCTATGTTGTGCTGAAGTGTATCAACATCATGTTCATCCGCATTAAAATTTTTGTGTCTGAGCGAGAGGCTTCACCAGTTGTATAATCCTAATAAATATGATGTTAGACTAAATTCTGACACAAACAAAAAAATTAATGTATACTGATTCATAATATTTGTACTTACATTTTCATTATTAAGAGCAACTTTTTCAATCAAAACATGACTACGCTGTGGTGAGTGTATAACCTCTATGGCATCCTCCATATATTGTTCCTTTGAACAATCCATGTGATTAGGTGAAACAGATTGTTGATCCACTTTATCTGTCTGTACAATACCAAAACATAATACATAATTCTATTAAATTAAAAGGCAGATTATAAAAAGATGAATAAAAATACCATTTGCAATCACATATAAAATAATATCATGATGTTTTTAAGTGTCATATACAAACTTTTTCAATATTGATATCATTAACCTGTTCATCAACATCAACAGCAGATCCACCAATATCTTGATCAACATTATGTTTCTGTTCAAAAAAAAAAATCGATAAGTGCCAATGAAATTGAACAAAAAAAAGAAAAAAAATATTTTTTCAGTTTTGTTGTCAACCTATACGCAAATTACACAATTTTTAAAGAATTCATAATAAATAACAATAATTATAAAACATATATAATTTTCACAAAAAAATATATGATTGTAATACTCACATAACCCTTCAAGTATTGCTTCAGTCCCTCTAATTGTGAATTTTCAAAAATTACTTTTCAAAAATCTGAATTTACGGGAACATTAGATACATTGTTAGCTTGAGAAGTTGGTAAATCTGGAGTGTAAACATTCTGATTTGGTTGTTTTTCTGCTGTTGTTGATTTGGAAACCTTTGTTTTATGTGGATGTACAACCTTTGTTCTCTTCAATGGTGGGGTAGATCCTGTGCTAGAGACTCGTGTTGATCTCCTCAACAATTGATCCGGTGGTTCAGATGAAAAGTCTTCAAATCCAGGAACCTCTTGTGGCTTCCCAACATCAATATTAACATTTGATGTATCAGGTTCATCATGAGTTACATGACTGGGTTGAGGTAATTGCATTGCTGTACATTCCTCCCCATTTGGCTGAATATTTGTACAATTATGCTGAAAAATAACAAAATATTGAATCATTGTTAGAACGAACAAAAAATGTATCGATAAGTACCAAAAAAATACTAAACATTTATATATTAATTACCTCAGTGGAAACGCTTTCCATAAACATCTCAAATTTGGGCTTTTCAGTCACAACTTTCCAATTGCAAATTCTTGGAATAACATTTTGTTCTTTAACCGCAATCTCATTATCCAACACAGAAGCACATTCATATATCCATACATTAAGTGTATACGGCACACCATTTAAGCGATACATTTTTTTCTCAGATTTGAACTCTTGTCTAAGTGAATTCATTAAACTTCTTAAAGCCCGTTGACCCCATGGATACTGCCGATAAGTACCATCTTCAATCATTAAAAAATCTTCAATTGGAATTGCTGCAGTACCAAGTTGAGATAATACAAAAGAGTGGATGAAAAACATGATAGCCATCTGAAGTTGATCATCGATATTATCCCAACCACCCAACATGAATCGATCTACCAGGCGTCGTTTATTTACACTGTAATTAGGCCCAGGAAAATACCTCTGAACTAGCCTACTTCTTTTTGAATCTGGATAAATAAAATTCTTAATATTTCCACTGCATTTCAATCCAGTAATAATCGCAAATTCTTTCAATAGTAAAGGTTAAGATATTTCCTTTAGCATGTCGAATGTGAAGCTCCTCGGCTAGATTGTCTTGCTCCACCTCTAAAAGAAGTAAATACTTGGTGATCTGACTTTGGTAGTTACATTTAGGAATATTCAAATATGAACCAAATATAGTATTCCTAAATAATTCGGTACCCTCAACCCCCATTGATAACTCTAAGTCTCTTAATATATTTGAATTGTAAGTACAACCAAACTTAAGAGTGTTTGGGAATTTGTTTAACCACATAATTCATATTCTGCAATTGAAAAAAGTGATATTGATATTTAATATAACCAAAAATCTTAATATGATACATAAAATGCAAAAATAAACTTGATACATAATTCTAACAACCTATCATAAGTCAGTCAAAATGATACTTAACAGACACTTTATAGCCAACATGATACAAAAAATGCAAAGTTGTACTTGATACATAAGTGTAACTACAGTAATAAGTCTGTCTACTTGATACTAACATAATACAAAAAATGCAAAGTCGTATTTGATACATAAGTGTAACTACAATTATAAGTCTGTCTACTTGATACTAACTTGATACAAAAAATGCAAAGTCGTACTTGATATATAAGTGTAGCTACAATTATAAGT